CGTCAGCCCCCCTGTCATTTTAGTACATTTCCAGAAGACTGGTCGTTGGCAGTCTGTAAAGTGCTGTGCTTATCTGTCAGCTCTAGTTTGAGGGTTGAAATAAGCTGTGTTTGGATACAATTTGCATAAACTTTTGTGGTGCAAATAATGTTTTTATCAGGCTTGATTTAGTGTAATTAGCTGAGAGGCTTAAGACGGTAGCCATTAAGTTCCAGTTGTGATTTGTACACCGTTCTCTGTGGGTTTTGTATGCATCTGTAAACTGAGACTGGTGTTACCTATTGACACCACTTTCCATACCCAGGAGGGGGGCCTAAGGATTGCCATTGAAAGGAAAAATTTTAGTCCTATATATGTTACTGTAATTCCTCAGACTTCTTCCTCCTATTTAAGAAAACAGAAGCCTATTGTCAGTGTGGTTTTTGTATTTTTGTGCTTTGGCCTTTTTAACCAGTTAGCTACTTTGTGGAAAGATTAGCCTTGCTGACAAATATGTATCTTATTTACCGACACACCCTGCACATCACTATAAAAGCAGCTGCGAGACGTTGTGGAGATTCAGTAACTGCTAGAAGTATTATTAATTCCTGTAGGATGTCAATAGCAGCATGATCCTGACAAGATTTGTCATTGTGCTCTACGCTGCCTTCTGGTTTAAGTAGCCTCTAACGGAGTAGCACTCGGCGTTTATTTAAACTGTGTGTTAGGTTGTCTCATTGCTCTCTCTCGCTGAACTCTTGCAGTGAGCGGTAAAGGCAAGACGCCGCTGCGGAAGAGGTGTAGTGCCAGCCAGGTGGGCCAGACAAAGCAGTTCCATGCCGAGGAAAGCAGCTGTGAGAAAGGTTGTCAAGTGACAAGTGAGCAGATTAAAGCGGACATGAAGGCAGCAAGTGACATGCCTGAAAGGAACAAAAGCAAAGATTCTTACCCAGGTTGCAGTAACGCTGCAGGATCGACGGGAACATCCAGCTCCTGCAGTGCTGTTTCTCCTAACCCTGACAGTGCGCAGACAGCTAATAGCCACTCTGCTGGGACCAGTCCAGCAACCAGAGACGAGTCCAGGCACTGTGTCTGCTCGCCTCGTAAAAGCGAAGGCTCCAGCGAGAGAGAGACTGAGAGCAGCTCTGTTTGTTCCAGATGTTCCTGCTACAAGCCGCAGGACGCGCAGCAGAGGACTAGTGGGTGTTGTGATGGGGAATGTCCATCCACGAGCGGAGCCTGCAGGAACGGACCAAACAGTGCTGGGTCAGGTTTTGCACTTAGGACTCTGCCAAGCTGTGGGCCTCCAGGAGAGACAAGTGGTGAGAGGACTAGTGGGAGTGCCTGTGGGCCTGCCAGAGGGGAGGAGAGCACGGGCTCGCAGCGACGGAGCTGTGAGATGGAGTACAGAGAAGAGTATCCTCGCCGACCGCTAACAAGAGCTAGAAGCAAGCTGTCCCACGTGCCTCTGGTGTCGGAGTCAGGTAAGACCTATATGCCTGTATTAAATTCTGAGAAACTGCTGTGCTGGCTTGAGACAGTATTGAGCAACTGCAACACCTACAGATTATACTGAAGTTAAACGTGAAGTTTATTGGCTGATAACTGAAAACTAAGTGGCTTGTCAAAGGGTCAGAATTTTGATGGTACAGAAATGGCTGACTTCACTGCCATAACTAGGTAAAATAGCAGCTCTCTCTAAAAGAGTGCCAGTGACTTTTTTCTCCGTGCAATGTTTCTGTGTGTGTTATCCGTACATACTAAACAGTGTTTGATTTACTCATTTGAAAACCAAATGCAACTTCTTTTGGCAGCTTCTCTCTTCCTGTGAAGGCTGTTATTCATTGAAACATAAGACTGTCTCCCCCATTAAAATTCTCCCTTTAAAAGGAAGAAGACAGCAGGTACGCTCAGATCTTAGCGAGAAGGCAAAAGTTAGTAAGTGATACTTTATCAACCAATAAAGCAAGCCGTAATTATAATTGAGCCAAGCTTGTGCACCTGCATAGTGGCTTCTGCTTCCAAATGTGTAAGGCGTGGTGATCAAACTTGTTGAAAATTGTCTTTTTATTAAGTAGGTTCATGCTTCACATCATGTAAAACAAACGAAACAAAACAAAATACTGAAGGGCTGGAATGAAGCCAGAAATGTTGGGAGAAAAGAACAGATGTGAGAGGGGAACTTGCTGTTTCTTCCACATATACTTGCTTTCCAAAATAATCATCTTAGTCTGGCACAGCACACTTTATAATTACCTCATGTATCCAGGATTCTTTGCTGAGAATATCTGGCGAGTAAAATGAAACTGAAAAATGAAACACGCTAGTTACAGAACCCTATGCGTTGGAGGTTGAAAAGATTGATAGCAAATTCGTAGCTCTGTTAACATGGAATGATTCAAACACAGTATGTCTTAGCATCTTTGCAGTTTATCTTAATGTTCCCAAGTGTTAACAAAACCTAAATCACCTATGATATTGTTCTGTAGCTAGATGTCTCTCAGATTGAAGAAATGATCTTGCTATTAAATTTAAAATGTCTGTTTTCTACCTTGTTCCATTATGACTAGTAATAGCCTACAAAAGTCAAAAGAAAATATTTCCTCTCTATCCTCATCCATTATGAAAACCTGAAGTGAAGTCAGTCAGATCTAAGTACTAAATTAGGGGGATCTTTCTGAAAGTATCTGTTTTCATGTTTCAGTTGGTAGTCAGGAAAAAGATCTGTCCTGCTCGTGGAGAAAAATGTGCCAGTATTTCCTATATTTAACCTACGCAAGTCAGAACTGTTTTCCCAGCTCCATACAGTTACGTGTATGTATTCATGCACGTATTTTCCTCTTTGAAGCATCAGATACTATCTGGTGCTGGAGGTAGAATATGAGATGATGTGTCATTTTTATCTTTTAGGCCTGTGTTTAACACACAGGACCGTGAGGCTTCTGCCTGGCTCTTTCAGTGCTTTTCTTCACTAGGATAGGCTATACAACTCGTGAGAGTATAACCTGAAAATGCTTTGTTACAGAGTTGGAAATGTTTTTCCATAAATAGTCTAAAAATGTGCCTTGAGTATGACTGCTTTCTATTATTCTAGCATAAATGACATTGTGGTTTTCGGCTTCTGTAACAAACCTGTATTTCTTAGTAGAAGTATTTTTTTTCTCATAAATTATTTACTCATATTGAACAATGGAACAAGTCAAATATTAAACACAATGAAATTTTAAAAACATTATCACCACAGACTAGTTGGAGAAAGGATGACTCGTGTGTAATTTTGATTTTTATTTTAGTAAAAATGTAAGCCACACTTGTAATAAATGTGGGATTTTTTAAACTTGTTTTAGTTTGCATTTGTAGTGAAGCAAGCTTTTCACATTTCAAAACGCGTGTTATGTTTAAACCTTCTGTAAAGATTTCTTGGCTTTGGGCTGCATCTTGAACAATTCAACGCAAATTGGAAAGTTTTTCATATAATGTAGCTAGGAAGTGTTTCACTGTCTGTAGATACTCTAGGAACTGTCAAAAAAAATTCCCTGGGATGATGATTCACGGGTGCTACAAGTTGAGCACTTGTAATGCTGCATCTTCCAACCTGTGGATCCCCTAAAGCAGCAGCCTGAATTCTGGAGCTCATAGGCCCACTGAGTGTCACATGTTAATTAATAGTTCACTTGTATCGGTGGAATTTGATGATGTTAAGTAGGAAAAGAGGTATTTTTTAATGTTAGTGGTAGTATAGCATGGAGTAGTTCACATATAGTCTCTAATATTTTGCACTTCTATCTTGATTGTGAATCTTTGTGAAGATGCCATATGTTTTAACAAAAAAGTCAAAGGAAGCTTAATTTTAGTAAAATAATTTCTCATTTTGATCTGTTAATTACAGAAAATCAATTCTAGAACATTTTTTCTTTTTACTCTAGGAAGTAAGGGTGGCCATCTATCATCATTTCTTTTCTCAAAGCCTCATCTTTTAAATCAAACACGAATTTGATGTTGCTGGGGCATGAAATGGAGTAAGAAGCAGTTTGGGAACATCAGATTGTTTTATACCGGGAATCCTTTGCAATATTAGGAAAAACTGAGTGGCAGTTATAAAGAGCAGACTTTCAAGTAGTTTGAGATTATTTCTACCATTGAAAACATTAAAGCCATTTTGGTTCTTGTATTTGCCAAGAATGTTCTGTTTGCTGCAGGGAACCAAACGTAACCTAACAGTTCATCTTCTGTTCTTGTCTTGGCTCCGCGTCTTTCTGTGATGTTGAACTTGTAGGTGCAGCCTTCCCGTGGCTTCATCTATGAACAGCCCACCCCCCCTGCCCCAGGTTATCTAGTATGAATGATTCCGAGCAGCAAACCTGAAAGTGGTTTTTGTGCAAGGAAGAGAGATAGTTGTTTTCAAGCCAGACTGGTATTTTGATCTGCATACATAAGAAATGTGTGGTCTTATTGGACATTTTCAGCTAGGGAATGCCTCTGTTGTTCTACTGAAACGTAAACAGCAGAAAGATTCTTCCGGTTTTCTGTTTCCAGAGGTGGCCAAGCCAAAGCCACGGCAAACCACAAAGCGGAAAAGGACAGCTGACAAGTCCACAAGCACAAGTGACCCGGTTATTGAAGATGATCATGTTCAAGTAAGGTCTTTTTCCACACCTGCTGCAGGTGTATCAGCTGGGGATGCTCAGGAACAGTGATGGAATTACACAAGCTTATCTTCTGTGTAGAGCCAGCTGAGTTATAACTGATGTTGCTGCTCTCTTTGGTCTTAACTATATACAGGAAATTTCTGTGTTAGGTGCATTGATACGTGGACTAGCCTGAGAAGAGCAAAGTGTAAGCTAAAGCTAAACTTGAAGTTTGTCGGGTACTTATGGCTGTAGTGCTACGTGAAGTCCTGCCTTTCCACAGTGTCCTTCTTGATGGACAGGGAAAAAATTTATTCTCTGGCATTTATCTTTGAAACAACAGCATAGGCTACTGCTGTTAAAAGAAACATGGGAGGTGTAATTACCTCTGGTCACAGCCACGCGGCTGTTAGTTTGCAGGCTGGAGGTTCTCTTAGTGTATTAATAACAAGAGTTAATTCTTCTGCAGTGAAGATCAGTCGTGGGAGGAGAAAGCGCAAGGTCTGACTTGGTGTGTTGAGGCTGTTTACTCAAGGCTCTTGTTCTAGCCGAGCGTGAGATTGCTTCAGAGGGTGACTCTGAACAGCTGACTTAAGCTTCTCTTCTGAGCTCTGCTGTAGAGGAACCCGCCTGTGTTTATTTTCCCCTCTCTGTCTGGTGAAGAACTTGGCCTCACTAACTTAAGATAGTTGTGGTGAATGTGTCCCGTAATATTTTTCTGGTTGGTTACTAGGATGCACTACAGCTTTTGTGATTAGCATTAAAGATATTTTTGGGTGCATGATTTTTCTTCTTAAAATATGCCATTTTGGAAGAACAGTATTGTGATTTTGTTAAAATTTTTTTAACTGTCTGTGGTTACAAGGAACAGCTTAAATTGCTGGAACTGAAAGATCTGACTGCCGAATGCTTCTTTTGTCTCTTTACATGTGTTTACTTTGTTTTAATAGAACTCTGTTTAGTTGTCTTTGTGTAATTGGTCAGCTTCAGCCTTGGGCTGCTAAATCTTGCTAGAATTTTTGGTGATAAAAGTTTGAAAAATTAAGATTAAAACCGCAAAAGATTCTTTGTTATTACATTTTCCCTGTGCTCACGCTATTGGAAATGATTCTGCTTATATGTTTTCTTGAGCTTGATGCGTACTTTATTTTTCTAGCACTGACAGTGGACATAGAGAATTAAATATTATGCATATAACCTTCAGCCCTCTGTGTGAGGTTTTCCTCTGAGATAGTGCTGGTAAAATCCATTGGTATGGGGAGTTCAAACCGTGATTCTTTGCCATACCTGCCTTCTGTGTTTAAACAAGAACTGCTGTCCAGAATGGCTATTTTTGTCATCGTGGTTGAAAAGTAGAAATTGAATGGTAGAGGGTTTGAAGTTCGGGAGAGATGATACTTAGGTTCTCTGTGATAGAAATGGTGCTTTCTGATATGACCCCTCCTTTAATCTTACGAGGTTGTTCTTTTGCGTTTTGTGATGTTGCTGATCAGCAGGAAGTCTTTTTATCTCACCGCCATCGGTAGCCTTCGTTATCTCAAATACCTGTACTAACAAAAGCTGTATTATATTGATTAGTATCCAGTTAAGATCCTTCTGTATCTGGCAGTATCTTTTAAAATTCAGTTTGTTTTATTTTTTTCTTTGTTTTTATCCTTTCATAGATGAAATCCAAAAACCTTGTTGGAATCACCTTGACCAATTGCGGTATAACAGATTTGGTACTGAAAGACTGCCCCAAAATGATGTTCATACATGGTATGTAGTTAATGTCATATGTACCTCCTCCATCTGGCATTATGAGAAATTTCTGAGGGAATTAAAGTCAGTTCACTGCTTATTTTGTATTCATCAGCTGCTTTGCTGCAAGTCAGACTGATGCTTAGGATACGCAAATATTACTGCTTCTCTATTTGAATGCCTCTTCCCTTATAAGCCATAACAGGTTTAATAAAGATTAATATCTGAAAACCAACAGATGAAATTATATGACAGTTAGGAAGATGAGATGTTTATTGAAGAGTGATAATACAGTAATTGGGAGTTGATGAAATGAGTTTGACTACCTCGTTTTTTCTCTCATTTCTTCATGCTTTCATAGATTATTTAGCTGACATGATGATACTTTTCTCCTTGACATGATAAAGATCTGTTTTAAATTATGACACTTAAGCTGCATTAGATTCACATGCCAGGGTGTGTGACTAGTCCTATATGGAAGCAGTGGGTCATTTATTGTTTTCTGCAACACCTACACCAAATAACACGTTTTCTTCTGAAATTAGGTATCTCTACTTAGCAGAGAATGAAGCAATTATTTCTTTATTTATTCCAGAATACTTCTCAGTATGTACATTAATTTTTAACTAAATTTTGATTACATGAGCAGGGTTACTAGAAAGGAAATAGCTTTATTTTTAGATTGTGTGGATTTACAACACTCTGTATTTGATCTGATTTTGAAGTCAGTGGTTTTCAATTTCAGACCATTCTGGGAGCTTTGTGAAAGGAAACAAAGGGAGAAAAAGGTTATTGTTAGGTAAAATTTGACATAACCTTTTAAAAGGACTCTTCTTACACGTTCACAATGTAGAAGTTTGACCATAACATGGAAGAAATGAACAGCTAGTCTATTGCTTTGATCAGCTATCCAAACAACTTTAATAACAGTCTGTTACATTATTTGTTTGCCTTCTTCGGAAACAATCGGCTTTGAAAATCTCTGACAGGAGGCTCCCAAGGTATTTTCAGTATTATATTTCTTCTAATAATTTTGTTTGCTTGTTTATAGCTACAAGGTGCCGTGTATTGAAACACTTAAAAGTAGAAAATGCACCAGTTGTCAATCGTTTTGACTATGCCCAGTGCAAGAAGTTAAACATGGATCAGGTTCTGGATCAGATTCTTAGGATGCCCCCGGAAAGAAATCGGATCATTTATCTTCGTCCAATGCAGCAGGTACGCAACCAACTTTCATTTAATCGTGAACAGATCTGGAGTTCTGCCTGTATTCTTTCACCACTCTTGGCTTTGTGTGTTCTTCAGTTAATGCCAGAAATGTAAATGATATAATAACACAGCTCAGAGAAACTTTTTTATTAAACCTTCATCCCGTCAAGGCTTTTATTGCAGAATCTGGAACTTGGGTGATAGGGAATTTTAAGACTTAATGCTACCATCTCCAGTATTCACTGCGTTGGCAGTTACTGTAAAAAATTATGATGTATTGAATTTATTCCAGACTGAGTAGGTAAAAGTAATTGTAAGAATCTAGGTGCTAGTAAGTCAGCTTGTAGTTCTGTATAAGCAGAAGGATAACATCAGCATAGGTATCTGAAATCTTTAAACATCCTATTAGATTTAGTAACAGCAGTTAGTGTTTTGAATACTACTGTGCTGAAAGCTGCGTCCTCTTTTGATGCTAAACAGTGTTGCAAGACAGCTGTGGTGCTGGGAAGCCACCCTTTCCTCCCCCAGATTACGTGTAGGAGATGTAAGCACTGACATTTACTGAGTTGCTGAAGTCATTTGATAGGTAAATAAGAGGGCTTAATTTAGGATCTGGAATGTTTTTTGACTTTTATCACTCTTAACCAGAGCATTCTGTATTATACTGAGATGCTGCATCTCTTGTGTAAAGTAATGCTTTTTCTGGCTTAGTTTGCCTGACCAGCGAGGGAAGGCTCATTTGATATAAAAGCCAGCTTTTTGTTGAAACCAGATCCCTTGCTTTAGCTCTTGGAAGACAGTGGTAAGACTATTAGGAAAAAAAAAACCCCACCAACCAAAAAACAACCCCTCCCCGTAAACCAGAGACAAATTCTGAGGAAGTGAATGTAGTTTAGACCATTATGTAATTTTATGAAAGTTTACTTACATATTGGAGTTGTGAAACACATCAGAAAATACACACTTCCCATCAAATTCCACTACTTGAGAAGACTCATTGGCAAAGCAGCGCTAGGAAAGTTTTACTTCAGTTAATCATGTATTTGGTTATGTATACTGTTAAAATTTCTTTTCACTGGACATGGGGGACTTGGTAGATGTCTGCTCTTTCCTCTGAAATCGCATCTCTTAGTTTCTCTTGATTACAAGTCTTTGTTTGCTGCCTTTCACAGGTTGACACATTGACTCTCGAGCAAAAGATATTTAGCGGCCCTTATCCGTACCACATTTGCATAATTCACGAATTCAGTAACCCACCTAATGTCCGCAATAAGGTGCGCGTTCGGAGCTGGATGGACACAATAGCAAATATCAACCAGTGAGTACTTGCCCCTCAGTAACTTTACAGAAAAAGTATTCAGTCCTGATTCGGCAGCTACAGCTTCAGTCAAGCTGTAGACTTGCTGTATTCTGTTAGCCAAATTTAAAAAAGTGGTTTGTTGACTAGCAGAGGTTGAATTCTAGATAGTGCAATGTAGAATTTCAATGTCAAGATGTATCTAATAGAAAACGTAGATTAAATAAACCTAACCATATGAAAAATTCTGTAAAATTCTCCAGTTCTGTCCTATCCAGCAGTAATGCAACTGAAGTCATCAGGATGGCTTGAAAAATATAACAAAACCTGAAAACAAGTTTCTTTTTTAATAAAAGGGAAAGGCTGATTTACTACAAGAAATAATGTTAGTTTCTGGGGAAGATTATGTGCAATCACTGTCGGCTCCTTACTGAGGAGCAAAAATTCCCAGCAGCAGGGAATTGTATACAGTGGCTCGCAGACAACTGTTCTAAACCGGTGTTTCTGTTGTCCTGATTTTTCACTAAAATGATTCCAAGAACAAATTTACTTTTGAAGTTTTGTTTAGTTGTGTCTATTGTTGGATTGTTCCTTACAGATAGAAAGCTATGCTTAAAAGGTAGCTTAACTGGTTTCTCATGTAAACTGTGCGTATTCTCTGTGGTTAGTCTCAGAAGTGAAGGGGCTGCACACTGAGTTGGTGTGGGGGTCTCAGAGGGGTGTTTCTGTGGATTCAGGCTCATTAAAGGAAAGGTTGCGTAACAGGATTTCCCATTTGGTTTTCCTCCTTGCTGCCCTCACGTTTCCTGTCACTACTGACTGTAATCTCTTCCTCCTCTCTAGAGAGCTTATTAAATACGAGTTCTTCCCTGAAGCGACACGAACTGATGAGGACCTGAAGAAATACACTAAGTACCCTTGGGGACGAGATATTTACACTCTAGAAGGTGAGTGTTCATAGAGAGCTGAAAGCTGATGAGTGATCGCTCTCTTGCTCATGTAAGTAACTTTGCATCAAGTTACAAGAGACGTGAACAAAAACTTTTGCGAGGGAGGTGGAGGACCTTTGGCACAGAGTGGGGGTATCGAAGTGAGGAGGTGCTTTTCCTGCATTACAGTGACTGATCTGTGTGGTGTCAGCGATGAGAAGCGCTGATGCTGCAGGAGGGACATTGTCCTCTTTGTACCCTCGTCCTGTCTGTCTTCTAGGCATTGTGGATGGTGCTCCTTACTCCATGATTACTGACTTCCCATGGCTGAGATCACTGAGAACAGCAGAGCCCAACAGCTATGCTAGATACGACTTTGAGGATGATGAGAGAAGTGAGTAATCTTTTTTGAAGTGTTCAAAGAACTTTAACTTGTTGCTTGGTCCCAAGCTGCCAATGCATTCCTTTATTTTTCAGTTTTCTAATTCTTGTACTGTTTTTGGTAGGCTACAGATAGCTACTCAATGAGGTGGGGGTCCAGCACAGGAGAGGGCCATAGTACTACAACAGTGTATTGACCACCCAGAGACCTCTAATAGTGGCAAAATCAGGGAGTGAATCTGGTGCTTAGCCTAAAAATGTGAGAAGTTTGTCGTATCCAGAAGACTGAGTGCATTTAAAACACATAAAACGAATGTTGTGATGCGTAGTCCCAGCAATTCATGTTTTGTGGAGTTTACTGGCATTACTGCTGAAAGCTCTGCTGGACTACTGCCTCTGGCTTTGCTTTATAAAAGGTTGTTAAGGTAGGCTGAAGAGAGTCTGGCAGAGAAAAGTGAGGCTCACAGAAACTTGGGAGAAAAGAGGAAAGAACCGGAGCTGAAAACTCTGGAACAGAGATGATGTGGGTTAGAATTTAGGATATATATGTCTCTGTCTATTTAGGAGCTTGTCTTATAAAATACTATAGTGGGCAGTTCCTCAATTAAGAACCTTGCTTGGTAGCAGGGAAAAATACATTCTTCCACTACCTAATTAGGAAGATCTTGGAATCTCCTTCATTAGAGGTATTTTTAATTGACATAATTTTGGATATTCTTATCTAGCTCTAATTCAAGGAGATGAAGCTCAAGAAGATGAGGGAGAAATCATTGTTGGCTATACCTTTCTCTGATGATTTTTTTTAGTTTTATTTTATTTGAAACTGATTCATAGACTTAATGCTTGTAGTTCAGTGTATAGTCTGAATTATAAAAAGGTGGTACGTATTTGATTTTGAAAGAGTAGTTGGATTAAACATGGTGTTAAAGCCATAAAAAATATAGACTGCTGCTTTATCCTTAACTGCTCTCGTTTATAAAACATTTAAGGGATCACTGAAATGGATAACCTGAAAGCATGTCAGGTAAGTCTCTGGAGGAAGGCTTTGTTATGCACTGGGATTCCCTTCGCTCACAGACATATGGACTTTGCATGCGTTAAACAAGTATTGGAGCTGTCTAAAGGTTTAAATCTGGGGAAGGCAGAATACCATTTCTGCTTGAATGGTATTCCTTAAATGTGGTTGCTCAGTGGAAGACTTTTCCGTTTGCTTTGTCTTCCAAGATTATCTCATTTAATGCAAAACGGGTTCACTTGTTAATTTCTTTATAGGAGAGATTGTAGTTTTTATTCTTCCGTGCCTTCCACAGCTACTATTTATGCACCCCGAAGGAAAGGACAGTTGTCTGCAGACATCTGTATGGAAACGATAGGGGAAGAGATCTCTGAACTGCGCCAGATGAAGAAAGGCGTATTCCAGCGGGTGGTGGCTATCTTCATCCACTACTGTGACGTCAACGGCGAGCCGGTGGAGGACGATTACATTTGAGTGGATACCCTCCCTGACCTGTCATCTCGTCCTAAATTCCGATGGCCACTGCTGGCCAAGAACGCAGGTGGATTCTTTCTGAATGCAAAGCATTTTCTTGAAACACACACTTTGCGTTGCTCTCACACAGTTTGGAAAAGAGTATGTAGTAAATGTATAATGAAAAGTAAAAATTGTATACTAAGATTTGTACATAGAGGAAACAAGAAAAACTTCCTAACTGAGACTTTATTTCATATGTTTATACAGTTTAATTTAAATTCCATTTTAATGAAGGCAAATAATTAGGAACAGGGAATAATATTTGAATTTTTGAGCCCACACAGTTCATAGCAGAATTTTTTTTCCTATAAACAAAATCCCATTTGCTGTGTTCAAAAGAGTCATCAGAGTCTCTTTTAATCTGTGCCTTTTTCTTGAGCATTTAAGAGTCCGGTCTGAGTAAACCTGTTGAGCACAATGTTTGTGTCTTGTGTGCATTTTTCAAAGAGAGAAATATTCTACAGCTGTTGCAAAGAAGGGCAAAAGCAGAAAAAAAGTAGCAAAGCTGGCGACCTCTGGTAGTTTCTAGAGTTCTGTGGTAGTTTTGAGAGTTCACTGAAGACATTCTTTGGGAAAGAAAATAAAACACATTTAGCACCTTGGAAGCAAGATATGTTCTAAAGCATTTTGTACCATTAGATTTCATTTTAATAGCGTGCTGGATTCTGTAATGTGAAAAATAAGTTGACAATTGTTGGTTGCACTCTTTAACACAAATCTGCTCATACCAACTGGCTGAAAGCTGAATTTTCCCTGAAGACAAGCAGGAAGAGTGGTGTGTAATGGCTTAGCTGTAGCTGTGCCGGTGCAGGATCCGTCTGACTCAACCAGTGAGCTTTCAGGCTGATTGGCGCTCACTCATGAATGCAGATTTTCCATACGGTCAGTAAATAGTGCTGCTCTCTGCCCCCGAATCCTTGGTTTTGTTGTATGTAGAAGATGCCTCTGGCTGCCCAGGGTACCCGCAGATGTTTTGTGTACACGTCCAGCATTGGCTGCAGGTCAGTACACAGCTGTGAAAATGCACAAGTTGGTGTCAAACTAGCTGGCTTGCGTGCTGTCAGCAGCGTGCCCTGTGGGGCTGGGAGCCCTCTGAAAGGGGATGCGCTGTGGAAGCGTGTCCGCACGCGGCTGCGCCCGGGCCCCTTCAGGTGGGCCGCACGTTCTTGCTTTTGTAAAGTTGCAGAGTTACCAGCCTGACAAATGGCAGTTTGCTGACTTGCTGTGGTAAAAGCCATAGGGCAGATTAGTTTACACCATTACATGATTTTACACATTATTGTTAATGATTTAAATTCTTTGAACTTTGGTATGAATGTGACTGATGGGGATTTCCATGACGTTGAGCTCTGTGGAACTGAAGAGGCCGGCGTCGGTTTCCTCTGCATCTGTCCTGCTGTGGAAAGTCTTGGGGTGATGTGGAACGAGAAACAAATCAGGTAAGAGGAAGAGAAAGGTGCCTGATGGAAGCAGCGACAGGTTTGGTACAGCTGCATTTTCTCACGTGTGCTCTCTAACTGGAGGTGGAGTGCAAAACACCAGGTAATGCTGTTAAATTTGCTTCAATGCAGGATCAAAGTTAATGGTTTTGTTATAACAAATATATTTAACCGTAGATAGTATATTCAATGACATTCAGACAAAATGTAATTTTCCTGAAAGTGTCTCGAGTAATCCAAGTCATCGATTCAGTCGTGTTTACCATTTTAATACAGCGCGTACAGGAAAATGTTGCCGCGTTTCTGGAGTACCAGATCTCCATCTGGTATCGCTAACTTCAGCCTGGTGAAGAAGTATTTATACAAATAATGTGCTTATTTACATTCAATATTTCTTTCTGTAAGCAATTGAACCTTCCGGTAGTTTCAACCTCTTAAACATTACCTCTGTTTTACACATAGTAGTAATGTAGTGGTGAAATTTATCATGTGCGCCTCGTGAGAGCGCTGGGTGATGGAGACTGTGTCTGGGACCTGGCCAGGGAACCTGCTCGCGCCGGAATTCAGCGGCTGCAGCTGAGGAGAGGAGCAAAGCACTGAAAAGAATCATTTCCCTGCTCAGCCTTCGTTAGTGTGGAAAAAAAAAAAGGTGAGAGGAAATGAATAGTACAGTCTGGTGCCGCTGTACGTGTGGTATATGTACTACCCGAGCGGAGCGGAGCGGGTGCAGTTGTGCC